AAGATGCATTATATAAAGGTACAATTCCCAATGAGAAATGTAATTGTGTTGTATACCTACAATGTACCAATAAAAGAATTTAATATAAAAAAAAAAATTCTGTCAGAGCCGATCCTGCAAGATGGGAAGACATTTTGTAAAACATGAGTTCCTGTATATGTCTGAATGCCCTGTTCCCCTCCTGGGACAGGATCTCCCCTCCAACCTGGGAGCAAGTATTGGGCTAACAATAAACCTTGCCCAACTGATAATTGAACTTTGTCCAACAGCCACTCCTGTTGCTATCAAATAGTACCCAATGTCATGAGAAGCCTAACTTGGCACACAACCTCATATTTCTTGCCTGAAGCAATTTGAAATCCTGACAGACTGCCAGTCACCCTGGAACACACTGGTCCTCCAGTAAAAAAGCCTTAAGAAGACTATAGACCTGTTCAAGACCTCCGAGGGTTGGGGATTTAGCTCAGTAGCACTGTGCCTGCCTTGCAAGCCCAAGGTCCTGAGTTCAATCCCCAATAGCAAAACAAACAAACAAACAAACAAACAAACAAAAAAACCTCTGAACAATCAGACTGTTAGAAGGAAACTCAAGCCCTCCTCCGCCACCTGCAAACAACAGGCTATACGGTCTCCTGGAAAAGGCTCAAATATGTAAGCCCAAAATGCATTACCTAGTTTTCAACCTAGAAAAAGGACTCTGATGCCTGGGCCAGAAAGAAAAGAGGTCATATGCTCCATCCAGAGACCAGACACCAAAAGACAGCTTATCGAGTTTCTGGGGGCTACAGGATTCTGTCAGCCTGCTGATATTCTGGGCATGACTTCTTTGGAAACAATCCCAGTCAGGTCTGCCAACATAATAAAGGAGTTGTACACTGCCTCCTACCTCCCTGGGTGTCTTCCTTTCCCAGATTCAGTTTGCTACAGCAGTTTTACACAGCATCTTTAGCACCTAATGAAGAAGGGCTTAGCAATGAAGATGAAAAATTCAAATTGCAAATCCAGTACTTCTAAAGAGTTCTAAAGAGAATGGGCAGGTATACTGAAATACAAAGATTTCCTGTAATTATTTCTCTACTTCCAATATTACTTGTATTGGTAGCTAACTTTATTTAGCCTACATTTATAGGCAAATATATCACTGAAAAATGCTGAAGAAGAATCAATGTGCCATAGTAGAGAATTTCAGCTGTCTTAGTTGTTTTTACAGGATTTCTCAATAATGTACTCATAGTTTACTTCCACCTGCTCTCCCATCATGTCCTTCCCTCACTTGGAAATTTCTGGGCAGTAAGAGCATCCCCTGCCTCTTCTGGAGTGAGCACCTTGACTTCCTTCGGAGCCACAATAGCCTCCTCAAACAGAGGGTCAGATGGCCATCCTGCTGCAATCAGAGCTAACAAGGCATGGGGGATAGCACTCATGCCTTCTGGAAAGGAAGCATCTTTTCTTATTCCTTTTTTTTTTTTTTTTGGTGCTGGGGATCGAACTCCGGTCCTTGCGCTTGTGAAGCAGGTGGCAGAACCACTGAGCTAAATCCCCGGCCCAGGAAGCATCTTTTCTATAGAAGATAGTCAAAGAGAAACTGTTTCTAGTGGAGGAAGGCACAGTGCAGAGAAAGTGTAATGTGATCTATTCACATCTATTTTCAATGACAAAGTGTGAGCCTGGAGCTGCCTGAGTCACTATGGAGAACCCAGGACAAAAGCATCATGGTAGGAGAGAATGAAGGGAGACAAAGCCAGCCCTTGGAGACAGTATTCAAGCTGTGCCTAGAACAAGCTCTTCTAAGAAGTCGCCTCACTTATGGGAAGTGATAGATTTCCTTTAGTCTCTTTAGCAGCTCTGAGATGCATTTTCTGTTATTTACAGTATAAGTATTTCTAAAATATAACACAAATCTAAAAAATCTACAGGTGAGCATTTAAGCCTATAAAACACAGTATTAATTACAGTATTGCTAGCAGAAAAATAATGAAGATGTGTTTGCAATCTACACAGTGTGTTAATTAAAATAGCAAGCTCATCTAGTATATTCAAATACAACTTAATACATTATAATAGATTATATGGAACTTTTAAGCAAAGTATATTTGACAGTAAGAAAGAATCTTATTATTAAATGATAGACTGTCACAAGTTAAACCTAAAAGTAATTTGTAACTAACTGTCAAGGATTTATTCTGCTAAAGGAGATCAAATCTAGTATTAGGTTTGTTTTTCAAGTAACAGATAATAAACATGTTGAAATAATTAATAAGTATGTAATAAATTATGTTAGAGGCTTTCTGGATAATTTTAAGTGTTTCACAGAGTCTTGCTTATGCTAGGCAACTGCTCTACCATTCACCTACATCCCTAGTTCATACATTTACTTTGTTAGGAAGAGAAAAATATCCTACCTATTCAATTATCTTTAAGCTTCAGATTTTAAAGCAAAGCTAAATGGGGCTGGGGACACAGCTCAGTGTGAACACCTTGAGTTCATTCCCTAGTACCACAAAAACAAAAAGAAAAAGCAAAACTAAATGAAGAAAACAGCTAATTTGGGCAGCTCCACGATACCAGAAAGAAGCCAGGCCCAGGAGGGCCCACCTGTTGGCGTGCACTTTCTGTCATCTTCATCTTCATGGAAAACCTGCAGCTCTGGATGAGGGAGGCAACTCCTTCCTCTAGCTCATTGCCATCCCCCTTGTCACTGTGACCTTCGTCTTCACCCACACTAGTGCTGTCATCTGAAAGCGAAGCCAGTTTTTCCTCTATTTTGCTGAGAAAGAAACACCTACACAAAACAAAGAAAAGTGAGAAACAACGTCAGAGACTCATGAAAGAAATCTTTTGACACTCAGAAAGCTACTGCATAGCACATACAAAAATTCTACAGTTATTAAGGTTTTGCTCACATTTAAACTATAAATGTATAAACTACGCACTGACTTTGCACCCCATTTGAATAAACCAACTCCTAAAAGATCACAAAGCGGGGCTGGGGATTTAGCTCAGTGGTTTTGCTGCCTGCCTAGCAAGCTCAAGGACCCGAGTTCGATCCCCAGTACCAAAAAAAAAAAAAAAAGTCACAAAGGATATTTCAACAGAACTTTCCAGATATTACTCAGTGCCTCTGCTTCTGCAAAAGCATTTCAACTCACAATTTTTTCTCTTAATGAAGAGGTAACAAACCCTATGTTGGATCAAAAGTCATTTTTCTCTTTATAATAATTTCAATTTAAGATCTTATACCTAAAGGCAAAAACATAAAGCAACAAACAGGTTATAAATAATCACTAAAAACTTTAAATGTTAAATATGGGTTGGCATAAACTTATTTATTTACATATAAATAATATAATTTACATAAGCATATATATTTTATATTTATAATTTCATATATGATTCTGCTAAAGTGATTCTTCTTTTTCTTTTTCTGGTACCAGGGATTGAACTCACGACCTGGTGCTTGCAAGGCAGGTGCAGTGCCACTGAGCTAAATGCCCGGCCCTAAAGTGATTTTTCATTTATGTCAGAAACACTGACAACAGTATTTAACATATAAAGTTCATCTGTAATCAATAATCAAGGAACCCAGGCAAACATGGTGGTACACACCTGTAATCCTAGCCCTCTGGGAGGCTAAGGCAGGAGGATCACTGACCTCAAGCCTAGCTTGGGAGACTTTGTGAGACCCTGTCTCAAAACAAAAATAAAAAGGGCTGGGAATATAGCTTAGCATAAAGGCCCTGCATTCAATCCCCAATATGAAACACACACACACTCACACACACACAAGTTGTCAGTTCTGAGACTGTTTCTAATTTTCTTAGAAACACTATAGCATATTTCTCATTTATTTTTTCGCTTGCCTCCCTCCACTCCTCTCTTCCTCCCTTGTTAATCATAAGAACAAACAAGTAAAAAGTGGTACTGAAATAGGCACTTGAAAATATTTGAAGAAATAACAAATGAACATATATTAAAGGAAACTGTGCATTCTTCCCAACGGTAGCTGGAAAGGAGCCCAGGGAGCCCAAAGGTGGTAGGGGAAATCCTGGAGGGGAGACAGCCAAAATGCCTGCTAGCTCTGGACATGAGCCTATATATGTCTAGCCTACCCTGAGGGCTACATGAATAAGATGGACTTAAAGTAGAAAAGGCTTAAAGATGGACCTGAGATCTGTGCCAAAGAGGCAAGACAGAGCCTGTTATCCAAATGGAACTGGGCTGAGTGCCTTCAAGAGTGTAGGAAGATGGCTGGGGATTTAGCTCAGTATTTTTTCCAACTATGAAAAAAAAGACTTGAACACGGGTAGATGACTACATACTGATATGGAAAAACTTAACTTCTCTTCCTACCTCACACTATCTACAAAAATTACCTTCCAATGGATCCAGACCTAAATATAAAAACTAAAGCTATAACATTTCTAGAAGAAAACAGGAGGAAAACTTTGTAAGCTGAGTCTGGTTATCAGCCTGAAGTGGGTCCCCCTGACCAAACCTAAGACAATACAAATATGAACTATATAAGGACAATAATGGGTTATTTCCCTTTAAATAAGTTGGAACCCATAATTCTTTACTGATAATTTTTTAGAAATAAATAAATGGGTAGATGAAAGGATTCTTCTTTAGAAGAGGACACAGACTGATAATCATGGAACAAATGGTAAACTCAGAAATCATCATTTTGCAATCATCACTATCCAAACTGGATGAGCCAGAAGTCAACCACAGATATAGTACAGAGGGATAAGTCTTATGAGAAACAGGACATCTGCATATCTCAAAGCTTTTCCCACATTACTTTCTTACTGGTTGCAAGGAAAAAACACAGCATTGGACAATGGAGAGACAAGGCAAAATTTTAACAAGGTAGTCAAAATGACTATCACCCACATGTGACATGACAGCCTGAGAAGAACTACAGAGTATTTTGGCCAGGGGTGGAAAATGTCCAAAATGTTTTAAAAAATCACTGAATCTAGGAAAAAGGTACACAAGAAAAGTCTGGTTTTCTTACAACTTTTCTTTCTTTTTTTTTTTTGGTACCGGGGATCGAATGTGGGTCCTTGTGCTTGCGCAGCAGGCGACGAAACCACTAAGCTAAATCCCAGGCCCTCTTACAACTTTTCTACAAGAGCTTACCTCAAAATAACAAGCACAGACACACTAAAAAAAAAAGCAAATGTAGAAATAATAGAAGTACAATGGCTGGGGTCAGAGTCCTTGAACCCTATTTCCTATGGATATTTGCACAAATAATCCAGAACCTCTCTGACTTATTATCTCTTCCCTGCGTACATGCTAAGTACTGTGTTAAGTATCTGCCCTCCAGATCCAACAGGGTTAAACACAGTAGGTAGGATGGGGACATGACAGTGAGCTCAGACCTGAGAAAGTGAGCACCGCTGTAAGAGGGAGGTATTTGAGAGGTAGGAGGTGTGAGTGGCAAAAACTTAAGTTTTAATAATAGAACAATAAAAAATCATTATGAGCATCTTTTTTGTTGCCATCCCACTATCTAAAAGTCAGTCATAAGGGAGCAGATGTAGGGCTGCCCCCACCTTCTCTCCCAGCTAAAGCATGTTTCTCTACCAACAGCGGGGCCTCAATGCTTCCAAAGTGAGTGGGTACCAACGTCCCCCGTCCCAGATGGCGAGTGGGGAGAAGAGAACATACTGTTGGCCCGCGGAGTTTTGTTAGAACAACTTACTTGGGCAATCAGCATGATAAGAGAGTTACATTAGGCTCAAATCCCATATTTTTCTAAGTAGAGTTTGGAAGAAGAATTATTCTAATGATTTTGGAAAAGAAGCCACATTTGACTTAAAAGGACCACATCTTACCGATTTGTGATGATGTCATCCCAGATGTTCATTGGGTCCATTTTAGCATCTGGATATCTGTTTGTCCAGGTTTTTAGAAGTTTCTTAAGGGAAACTTGAGATGATAAATTATCTAAAAATAATATTAGAGGGTGATTATATCCACAGTTCAATGACAAGACCAACTAAAAAAGTGGGTCATCACTACTAAATAGAAATGTAATTCAAATTTCTTGTCCAAGTTATAAAAAAAACTGTCTTTTACAAAAGGAATATAAGTCACCATACTAAACATAATATATCTTGATATTTAAATTCAATCACTCCAGGACACAAAAAAGATGGGGAAAAGAAATACACTAATATTTTAGATTCACTACAGGTCCACAATTCTTCACCTGCAATTTCATGTTCTGTTTTTTGTTTTTTTGGAACTGGGGATTGAACTTGGGATCTTGCATTTTCGAGGCAGGCGCTGGAACCACTGAGGTAAATTCCTGGCCCTACCTGCAATTTCAAAGTCTTAAAAAACACTGAAAACTGAAAAAGTTTTCATGAGGGTTGCAGTAAAAATTGAAAAAAAACCTGATCTGCACCAGCACAGGGCTACTTACAGTCTTTGTTTATGCCACCAATGTGAATACTCACCACCTACACTGAACACTCACCCCTGAGTTAAACTAGGGAATATCGCCCCAGCCCTGGGTATATTTCTAATATTTGAAACAATGTGCAATCAAGAGTCCAAGAAAAGTATTCAAAATAATCCTTATGAAATTGAAATTTCACATTGCTAATGTTCAAAGATTGTTTTTCTGATGCTGGAAAGCAGTGCTTAGAACAGGAATTTAGCTCAGAAAGCCCCAGGTTCTTATCTTTCACTTATTACATAGCACAAGTCATTTAACTTCTCTAGGGTCCTATAATATGACAGGGAAAAACCTACATCTCATAAGGTTGTTGTAAAAACAAGATAACAGAGGGGCTGGGGATTTAGCTCAGTGGTTTTGCTGCCCGCTGCGCAAGCGAGTTCGATCCCCGGTACCAAAAAAACAAAACAAAACAAAACAAAAAAAACCCAAGATAACAGAGATAACGAGATTTAAACTAGCTCCTGAAACAGAAAGCACTTAGTGAATAATAATACATAATAAAATATATACTTGCAAAATATTTCTCCAAATTTTCATAATTATTTTCAACTATTTAGAACAAAAATTGAAACAGATTTATAACTAAGACGTTTTATCTTTGGAGAAACGTGTCTCTCAGACTATGACTCTTGGATGGCCCCCACAGGCATGGGACAAACCTACCTTAAGTAACACAGAGGCCTTCCTGATGTGAACACTGCCAGCCCCTTAGGCTGACTCTCCAATTCCCTCCTCACAAAGGCCCCTGGCACCACAGCTATCTGTCACTACAGCCTTTCTGGGGGGCAGGCTCTGCAATGCCTCTCTTCTACTCTCTACTCAGGCTCCCTTTCAGGGTTTTCCTGCCCCCTCAGGCCAGGGCCAGACCCACCAGCTGGGTCCATAATTATAAACCCTTACTTACCTATCCTGTGAAGGTACCCCCCTTCTCTGAACACTTCTGAGCAATATATTTTGGCTTTGCAATCCCAGTTCTATTAACTGTGCCTGACCACTTTACATATTTATTCTGATGGCTTCAAAATATGTAGTGTTTACAGAACAAATTCAAGGCAGTTTCCAACCCACACATGAGAAGACATGTACTTCCCCTAAGCAAAAAAATCAAGTGCTAAAACTCTTCCATAATTAAAAAGGAAAAATTGGTTAAAAAATTACCTTGTTTACTTATAAAGCTGATAAATTCCTGAATTTCTGTTAAAGCTTGTACAGACTGTAATTTGGTGAGTCTACTTCTATGTAATAGGACATCAATACTACAATAATTCTAGAAAAAAAGGCATGTAACATTGTTATAAATCAAATTTACTTGAAACTTTTGATATAGTTCTCTAAAATGTGAAATACAGCAACTTCCCTACAAATACATTATCCAGTGTGTTGCAAAGTGGTTAAAAATTAGGTCATAGAGACAAGAAATGGTTTAAATTCTATTTTAGTAATTTAGGTTTTCAATTACACTTTCGTTCAATAAAATTAATATAATCAGGCTATCATTGTCTCTGGATTTATTTTTTTTTTTTCTTTTGGAGGGAGGCACTGGGGATTGACCAGGGGCCTTATCATGCTAAGCACACACTTCAGCCCTGAGCTATACCCTCAACCCAAATAATTATAATTGGTTTCACCACCTTTCCTTTTTCTGTCTGATAGGCAAGTGCTCTACTAATGACTTACAAGCCCAGCTGGTATCAATTTAAAAGAACACAACAGGGCCAGGGATTTAGCTCAGTGGTTCCGATGCCCACCTTGAAAGCACAAGGTCTCGAGTTCGATCCCCGGGTACCACAACAACAACAACAAAACACAACATCTTATAATGTAAAACTGCCAACTACAGAAGCTAACTCTTTCTTCTGCCAATAGACTTCTTTTTCAGTGTACTGACCAACTAAAATAGCAAACTAAAAATGAAAACAATTAATGTACATGCTTTCATGATTAACAATGTGCCAATGACGAATGTTAATGGACTTATACAAGACACTGAGTCACAAACAAACCCACCACTGTGAGAAGACTCTCAGAAAAGCAAGCAAGAAAGAGTGGCAGAAAATTAACTAGGGAGAACAATCCATATTCTTCACAAAGCAACCAAACTTCTATATAGCTACTCCACACAGAAAAGTCTATTCTTTTTTTTTTTGGTACTAGGATCAAACTTAGGTCCTTCTGCTTGTGAGGTAGGTGGTAGAACCACTGAGCTAAATCCCCGGCCCCAGAAAAGTCTATTCTTAAGAGTTCTGTAACAGTGTGAGAAAGGTAACTAAGAAACAAACTGAGTGTGGTACATGCCTTGTAATCCCAGCACTCTAGAAGGCTGAGGCAGGAGGATCACAAACTCAAGCACAGCCTGGGTAATTTAGTGAGACCCTTTCTCAAAATAAAAAGTTTTACAAAGGCTGGGGATCCGGTTCAGTGTGAAGGCCTTCAGTTCAATCTCTAATATTGTCAAGAAATAAAAAACAAATAAAATGAAATAAATTAAAAACTTCAAAAATGGAACTTTTTAAAAACAGGAAAGTGATTTAAAAAGAAATAAAAGCTGGGCATGGTGGCACACAGCTATAATCCTAGCACTTGTGAGGCCGAGGCAGGAGGATTGCTGTGAGTTAGAGGCCAGCCTGGGGTACACAGCAAGATCCTGTCTCAAAAACCAAAATAAATAAATAAATAAACTTAAAAAATAAAAAGAAAGAAATGACGACAAAGGACAAGTGAAGAACAATATAAGAAGAAACTGGAAGAATAGAAAGGAAACGTGGTATATAAACAGTAAATAAAAATTTCGCTTGGTGATTTTTTTCATTTATTTATGGCTTTAAAAACTACTATAAAAGTGGTATGTTTCATGGCTAGAGTAATAATTTAGTGGCTGAGCACTTGCTTAGTATGTGCGAGGTACTGGGTATTATCCACAGCACAACAGACACCAAAAAGTCTACTTCAGATAGATCTATCACTATTACCTGTAGAAAAATCTGAATGCCCTTTTCAACATAATACTTGGCCCTGTCAAGATCATCCTGCAAGACGTAGAGAAGACTCAGCTCCTGGCTGTACTGCAGCTCTGTGAGCACCTGCTGCAGCTCCCTGCGCATGGCCTCGTCCATGAATGACAGCAGGGACTGGTTGCCCTCGCCTCGAAGCAGGAGCTTCAACTTGCTGCGGATCATGTATGGTAGATATGTCTCCTGAGGAACATAAAGATCTTGTAATTTCAGAACATCCATCTGAATGTCCATTTTATAATATTCTTTAGGATTTTATGCATCATTTCATAACCCAAAATACTGAGGAAAAATGTTCTGTAGAAAAAGGGATTTACTTTTAGTGGAAGGTAACCTTGATCCAGGCCTTTACAGCACAGTGAAGGCAGTGGTGGGGTGGGAAGGGCAGGAGGCCTCCAGTATGCGGCCAGTGATGCACAGTGAAATCTCACAGCACAAGAGACAACAGAAAATATTCTTCTATGTGGTCCTACTAGGGATGCTAATACTTATTTTAAAATATAACCCATTTATTTCAAAAGGGTTAGCTACAAGTAATACAAGACTTAATAACACTATGGAGCTTCCTGGAGGAGTCAGGTAAATATCCAAGTGCTTCACAACTACTGCCTTCTTTCGGGGGGAAAAATTAGATAATTACATTAAGTAGGAAATATCTGAATCTAAAACACTTATTTCAGTGACCTAAATAATTCTACTCACTTGATAAAATGGTTCACTCCACATTTTACTTAAATCTGGAGGGTTCTCACTGTCTACACTGGCTGTAGAACAGTACTCTAGTGACTTCCACTCAGAGAGGTGGTTGTAGCAGTCGAGAGATGCTAGTTCCCAAAAGTCCTTCTCAGCTTCTGTGGGCTCACCATCTACCCACTCTTGTTTATTGAGAGCCTGCCAAAGAAGAGTTAGCAGGATTATTTTACAAAGTGGAAAGAATACAAATCAAAATATGTTTTTTAAAAAGGGAATAGAGTATAACAACCCTAATGAAGACAGTAATTTTTTTTTTTAATACTGACAAACACTGGAGTTGAGTTTAATAATGCACTATTTTGCATAATTCTTTCACATGGTTGTATTTTTATTTTGGCTTCTTTTTCCCCCATTAAGTTTATTGGTACCTTTTAGGTATAAACTACAGTTACATTCATCATCGGGATCTTGTACCATTACATGAGTCTCTTGGTAAAGACAGTAACTTTTTAGGTTTACGGTAAGGCAAAAGAAAAGCGAGAATATTCAGAGTAACAGTAAGTAAAAGAAAAAAACAAAAGGAATTTTATAATAATAAATGAATATACAAAGTCTAACCAGGAGCAAGCCATTTCTTGGAGAAATTTACCAGTGAAGCCAATTAGTAAACCTGAAGACTGAATGTCCCATAATTTGGTTTAAGACTGTGGGTTATTTACTACACAAGTAATTAGAATAAAAATTAAAATACAGGATATCTGCAGAAATTGCAAAGGATTTAAAACTATGATTGTTTCAAGAGTCTCATAGGCCACGGACCCTGAAGTTCAACATCTATACTTAGATAACTGCTGGGAACTCGAAACACAAAATGTCATCTCAAATTCTTCTTTACTTCTTCATAAATTTTTTACTTATTGAAGGAAAACAATCCTCAAATAGAAATTATAAAATCATAGCAGACATAGACATAACATGGGACAGTTTAAGAGTACTTGGAAATTTATGAAATGCTTTCTTTTATTCAGTGTTTTCTTAAGAGTAAGAAATAAATAATTATTTCACGTGGTTATTAGAAAACCATATAGGCTATTATTAATCTTTAAGAAATAAAGATTATTTTCATGCAGAGAACCAAGTGTTTAAACAATATATTTGCTAGAGACTGATTTTACCTCATTATACTGCTTAGCAGCTTCAGAATAATCGCTTCTGGCTTCTGCTAGTAATGCATTCTGAGTAACTTGCTTTGTTCCTATCTCATTGCTAAAAATACCACGGAGGACATCATATTCTCCAATTGATCTATACAATCTATAAAACAACCAAAATGGCCCAATCAGTGAACACTCATTATTTTAAAAGTATTTACCCCAATGAAATGATATTAAAGATGCCACACATTATATTAACTAAAGACATAAAGTTTTTATTTTGCTAAAGTATAAAATTTTAAATTTTAAAAATTATCCTTAGGCTTTACTACTTTACCCATACAGAAGAAATTAATGTGCATTTAAAACAAAATATGAAAATATTAAAAGATCATAATGTATAAACTGTCTCATTAAATCGCTTCGGAAGATGACCCACTGAAATTCTTTTTTTTAATTAATTTTATTGGTACATTTTAGGTGTACAATATAATGACATTCAACATTGGAAATTTGTACCTTTACATAACCTATCTTGGTTCTTATTTTTTCTCCATTCCCCTGCTCTCCCTTCAACCCCTTCCCTTATTTACAAAAACTTTGTTTTCATTTTCTCATATTAATTCCATTCCCTTCTTTCCTTTCCCCAATCCTTCCCACTTCCCCTTCCCCTTTGGACCTTTCCTTCCTATTTCACAATATCAATTATGCCTTTTGATCCTTATTTACACTTTCAGTTTCTCACACCAGAGAAACTATTCA